TGGACTGATACATTAACTGTCATTTTATCTGTGCCATTCTCTACACAGAATACTCTAAAGTCAGTATTAAATGGACTGTGTGATAATGTCTTTATTATGTACCCAAAGTCTCTTGAATGAAAAGGAGCAATTAGGAAATTATATCCCCAAGTGTAGGATGGAGGGACTTGCTCTATGAGATGATCACAGCCCTCTTTATTATCAGGAATTTGGCCACACTCGTGTCCAGTCATGAATCCGATTGGTTGAGTAGAAGTTGCTGTTATACCTGCTATTGCTTCATCTGTGTTCCTAGCTATAATAGGAGTATAATATTGTTCAAAATCAATTCTAGATGGATTGGGAGCATTAAAAAATTGATCCTGAAAATATCCATTAGAAGAGTTTAAAAAATCAAGTTCGGGGACTTGAGGATAGAGTAGCGTTACTCCTCCAGTTGTAATATGATCACAAGCAACAATTGCTGCTAGAGCTAATTCATCAGAGCCTGTAGGCCCACCAGTGAATACGGAGTAAGTGTAATTCTCGACAATTGAAGATACATTAAATATTGGGACAGCAGTGAAACCATCTGAAGATCCTATGGCATCACTGAAACCCATTATAGATATCTTTTGTGAACTATTAACTGTTTCAACTATGATACCAGTGAAATCATTAACTGATCTAGCATCTGCTCTGGTAACTGGGGTCATATTTGCTATGAGTGGTGCAAGAATAGCATTTAGATTAATTACTGTATATTACCAGTTTTATATACTTCTTTTCTTATTTCTCCTGGTTGAACTGTACCAGTTCTATTGACACCACTGACACCTGACCTGATACGATATTGGACAGGTTCAGACTCCTGGGTACCAATGTATATTCCAAGGTTTTTTGTATAAAAAGTTCCTTTATTCTTAAGGAAAGAGAAACAGAACTTGTTCCCTTCACTAGTATCAGTCATTGGTACTCCTAATGTATTCAATTAATAATAGCAATTATTATATTTATATTACCCCTCAATCTCTTATTAATATCAATAGATCCTTCACTACCTATAGCATTAGGATAATCATATCAGTCCATTACTGGTAGGTACACTTACCATCAATACAACAGATACTCAGTAATATTATAATCATTATATGATACAACATCTTCTCCACTTTATCTTGTTATTCTCCTTCTTTCTCAGTGTTGATGTTATTGATATTTCTTTCTCTCTTGAGTGGCTATGGTATAAACACTTTATTTAAATACACTAACAGTGTATTCATTAGTGGCCCATTGACTATAAAAGGAAACAACATTTACTAATAATAACCATAAACATAATAATAATAATAAAGTATAAGGTTAAAGTTTATCATGTATACATTGTTACAGTTGCAATGGATCTATAATGAATAATACATGGTATAATAGTAATGAAACTCATTCCTCTATCTTAATAATGTTATACTACTCGTGCTTCAAACCAGGCATGGGGTCAAGCACTTGGTGCTTGTACTTAAGCACAAATAAGCACAGCTTTCAAAGTACTTAGTGCTGCTTGCAAGTACCTTTTCAATATAATCTATGTGCTTTGTACTTGTACTTAATTACTTTTACAAATTTACAAAAGTGCTTTTAAGCACAGCAAAAATTACACACGAATAGTCAATAGTGTACATGTACATGTACATGTCATGTACATGTACCACTGCATGTACATATACATGTAGTGGTTACACAGTCCAATAAATTATAGTAATTACTAACCACTACATGTACATGTACATGCAGTGGTACATGTACATGTAGATGTACCATGTAGATGTACATGTACAATGTAGTGGTACAGTAGTATACAAGTTTAGTAGCACATTGTGTGATTGCATGTTAGCTTGAAGAACAGTAATGGCATCACCATTAGTGGTATCACTCCTGTTTTTATTTATTATGAACAATTCACGGAGATAGTGTTTATTTGATGCAATAGTAAATTGAATGACTAAGTGCATGTAAAGTGAACAACTATAATTGTAATTTACTTTATTTATTTTTACACTTATAGAATATCTAGTACTTACTAATGTAATTAAGCACTCTGGAGAATGCTTGTTCTTGTACTTAAGCACTTATGTTAAAGCTAGGGATTATGCTTGTGCTGGTACTTCTAACATATTTAAGTGCTTGTGTTTGTGTTAAGTACATTTCATAGTGTTTGACCCCATACCTGCTTCAAGCTATTCTTTCAGTTCAAAGTGATCAGTCTGTATTATACTGTTAGTACAGTAACCTCTCAGTGTTAGTGTTAGTGTTTATATGTTGCCTTATATGCTAGTAAATTGAACTAATGCTATGACCTATACACAGAAGAAATGAAGAAAGTGATTTTGTTGTATTTGTACAGTAGCAGCTAACAAAGGAACTTATTTTATAAAAAAGTAAAATGTCAAATTAAGTAACTATTAACTAATAATGTTCAATTGTCAACTAACAATAATTAATGACTTTATTA